TTGAAGCATGAACAGTCACATTAGTGAAATTTGTCGAAAGTGTTATCTTCAGTCCAGGAACATTAGCCATATAAGACATTTAATTAGTCAGGAAGCAGCTGCTAAAATAGTATGGTCTCTGGTATTCTCAGGGATTGACTACTGTAACAGTTTGTAAGTGGAAATAACATCTAGTGCCAATATTTTAAAAGAAATGTACAAAATATCGCAGCTCGAATTGTTACCAGAACATCAAAATACTCCCATATTAATCCGGTTCTGAAATCACTCCATTGCCTGCCAATAAATGAAAGAATCATCTTCAAAAGTCTGTCTTTGAAGTATCAGTGTGTGAATGGCTTATCTCAAATATACTTATCTACTCTTATGCAAATACAAGTTTCCTAACCTCTAAGTATTGTTGTGTACATGTATATATTTTCCTGTCATATTTTCATTTTTTATCATAGCTTGATAATGACTAGAGAAGCCTAGTCGAAACGTCGCTCAGTAGTAAGCAGTAATGGTATTCCATAGAATTGTGACCTGAAAAATCAACTGGCGAGGTTTCGATTCTCTGGTTGTACGTGACAAGGATCGATCGACTATCCTACCTCGTGGGTTTTCTCCGGTTCCTACTGCTAAAGACCCCTACGCGCAAGCGCATTAGTGAAATACAATTGAATCATATGTTAGTTCCGAAATAAACTAGTTTGTGTCGAGTAGACGTTAAACACCATCTCTCTCTCTCTCTCTCTCTCGTATTATAATTAGGATAATGGAAATTCGGCGTTGGTACATTTTTGGGCTATCAAATACTAGATTTGAGAAACTGAAAGTAAAGTACCTTTGGTTTGTGAGAAGGTTTGGTAGTGCAGTTACGAACGTTCTCGATATATTTTCTGATAACGGTAGGGTTCACGAGAAAGTTGGAGAGGTTATTTTCACACGCTGGACATTTCGGATAGTCTGCAGTTTTTTGCGCTTTACTAACCAAAAAATAAACCACCACGTCAACGGTTTGCCATGAGCGTTATCATATGTCTGCTATTAATAGCCAAGGGTATAATATGAGTATTTAAACTGCTGAAGTAAAGTTATTGATGATCAAGATTTTATTTAGATAATTCTATGATCGGTTCATTAATCTACTTATACCTTGAGGTATTTCAACGTGTTGATTTGCAATATATATTAAAATTTTGATTTAGACAATATTTCTTCATTACATAAATAAATAAATAAGATTTGCACATAATTTTTTAATACCACATAAAACAAGTATACACTCACAACAAACACATGGAAATTGAATATAATTATTATTTATGCAATAAGTTAATCCCCATTCCCAAAAAAGGTGGAAGGGTCGTTGCCAGTTGGAAATATGAAGTTAAAAAAAATTAAATAAATTGAGGTAAATAAAGAAAAACAAATTTAATAAATTGAGGTAAATAAAGAAAAACAGACTTGCAACTGACAAGTAAGGCTTGATGTGAAAAGTGCAAATAATATGACAACTTAAACAATTGGCAAAGATGCGGCAAATCTTTGAGCAACTGACAATCGCTGTGACAGATTGTCATGCATGTAGCGTTTGAAACAATCACTAGACCAATATCCAAGCATTTGAATATCAGTGGCTGGAAAACCAAGTAAGTGAAGCCTATTTGCCCCTCCCTGCAAAAGGAATGGACCCTTATTTTTGCATTTAGGCAACTCCATATTAACCAATAATTCTTTAACTTTGCAAATAAAACAAAGGTACATGTATGTCAAAGGTTGGCCATTTGATAATGCAAGAAGAGGGCCAAGAGGATCATGATTGGGGCTTAACGCGAGAAAAGACTCCAAAGCAGGACACAGAGTGTGTCCACTTATTCTAGCTAGAATTGTTATTACCCTATGCTCGTGATATTGAAGAGTTTTTTTTATGCCGTATATTAACTACAAACCCCCTAGTGTGTGAAACAGCATCCATGCGCTGCAGATCCTTGGTAGGGTCAAATGCAGACTTTGGCAAAACATTATTTGGTCTTAGCAGTCCAAAAAAGGCAATCAGGCAAGCAACCCAAAAGGCATGGTCAAACTGATTTACAAAATTAAGCAATGTTCTAAATTTGAGCAACATTTCCAGTGTTATAGTGTCAACATGAGACTGAGCAACAAGATCTCTTTTAATAACTAACAATAATTGTCTAAGATTCGATTATCACATAGAGGGTCAGGCAAATCCTCAGCTTTATGTAAATGCGAAATGACATTAAGATATTGTCTTATAGTAGCATAACGATAGTGTTTGAGATGGTAAAGGTAGGCCACATACATCTGAACACAGTCTGTAGTAGCTGGGATCGGTAAAAAAGCAATAAGTTGTGAGGCATATGTAGCTTTTGTTGTCTTTGACCGAGCCTTCTGTTTCAATTCGTTGGCAGTCAGTAAAAGGGCCCCTCCCGATACAGAACCACCTGAAATACACAAATATAATTGACATGTGGCATAATAGTTCTGATATGGAAATGTCTATAAAGTTTATCCAACATATTAGGCTGATGAAGGCGAGAACAAGTATCAGCACCGTGTTGTCAATTCCTGGTATATATAAAGAGCATGTAAACTAAAGTTATTGCAAGTGGGCAACCAGAAAATATTTCGCTACATTCACATAATAGTTTTATTCCTAGATGTCCCTTTATTTAAGGCTGTTTTGGCAATTATATTATCTGTATTAATAATAACTTGTTTGTCTCTCCAGAAGGAGGACCAGCTTAATATGGAAATAAAAATTGCTGCTACCTCCTTTACATTCGTGTTCAGAATCGAACATCTAATATCAATTAGTATAAAAAATAATCGCCTCCATAGTAACAGCCTGCACCTGCAGAGGTGGCATCAGTTTGTAGAGAGTTTATTGGCCGAATATCATGAATTTTAAGACTTCCATTGAATTGACGGAGGAAATCTTTCCACCAGTCTAAGTCGAGAACAAATTTGTGAAGCCCAGCTGAGTTTGACACATAACAGCTTAAGTTTACGTTTACTAGCCCTCCTCCTGCCTTCAAAAGAACATATTAGCGAAAAAAAATTAGACAATTTCTGAACCGGAAAAGAAAAAGTCATGTTCTCAGAATCAATCAACTAGGAAAACAAGAGAGGTACTAGGGCTCTCAACTTTAGACGAGTTTTTTCGAAATACAAGAGTATGCAAAACATTCATTAATTGCTCTAGAGCATAAACACACTGATAAAAAGTTGAACTGATGGTGAGAAAGTCAGCCAAGTAAGCAATCACTGTAATGTTATACTGTTTTAACATTATTCAACATACGGCACTGGTAGTGTCTGAAATATCTTGGGACTTTTGGATCCACCAAAGGGCAATTTTGTATCAACAACGTAAGTTGGATGGATATCTCCTTCGAAAGTCCACTGAGACCAGTGACAAAATAATTGGATTTGTGGATACTAACAGATCGATAAGCACTGTGTAGGTCCACCTTAGTTAAATAGCAACCTTGTGTGGTGTAGTTTTTGGCAACTGTCAAATCCATACATGAGCAAATCGTGTCACTCGCATAATTATTCATAGCTCTGAGTAAGCTTTGGCTCAGACCACATTCATAAACATCTAAAACATAAATTTACAATAAATTATTACTTTAATGGAATTTTTTTTTTTAATTTTGCAAGGCTGATTGTGTACGTTAGTTGTCCATTAATTCATTGTCCACGTTTGTAACGCTCCTTCCGGTCTAAAATGGACAGACCTTGGTAATGTATGTGAAATAGAAAAGAACATGTATGATGTATGTTGCTCTAACAATGGTCGAGACCAAACACGGCGGTTGCACAAAAGCTACACTGTACGAAAATGTAAAATTACAGCGAAAAATATGTAATGTTTAATATTACTGTAAAAGATGGGTAAATTCACCATAAAAGTGTAGTTTTACAAGTTAGAATTTGAACCTTTACATTTAACCTGTATTGATACAACTATATTTGTTAAACGGTCAAACGGAGTTGAACTTGGTTCAACCTCTTCGCGTCGCTCAAACTATGGCACTCTTCGCGTCGCTCAAACTATGGCAGCCAACAAGCCAATCAGTAACACGACTACGCCTGGTTCGCTTAGTTTAGCATTGCTCATTAGAATCGCCAGCTTTTGATTTTTATACGCCCACATTTTTATGTGGACGTATATTGTCGTCACCCCTGCCCGTCCGTCCACAATTGTTTGTGAACACTCTACAGGTCACAATTTTTATCCTGGAAATATAGGTTTATCACCCTCAGATCTCGGTTCCTTTCGATATTGGCATGTATCGGACTGTAACTTCATGGATTATGGCCCTTGATTGTACGAAAAATCAAGTTTTTAGCTTGTGAACACTGTAGAGGTCACAATTTTTATCCAATTTGGGTTAAACTAGAAATGTATGTTTATAACCCACAGATCTCGGTTCCTTTCGATATTCGAGCATATCGGACCATAACTTCCTGAATTATGGCTCCTGATTGTACGACAAATCGCGTTTTTAGCTTGTGGACCCCGGAGAGGATGATTGAGTTTGAATTTCAACGCAACATTTGTCATCATAGTTTCGCAGTTCACAAATAAAAAACGAATGAGAGAGAAAACCCTTTTCCAATCTAAATAACGCAGTAACTATATCGACATTTTTTTGTGGAGATTACGACCTCACAATTATGAAATTTTGCATAGAGAAAAGTCTCGTTTAAGAAAAAGGTACAGGTATTCGGATTAGGGAGCGGCGCTTATTGTTGTTTACAACTGTTTTGGGGAAATTGTACTAAATTATAAAATGTAATTAATAGCCTGAAGTAAAGTCTCGTTTAAGAAAGAAATTTAAAGAGTAAACTACTAAGATAAAAATACAAATTTCAATCAGATTTTTTCAAATTGTCGAGACACTTGAAGACATGTCTCGCGGATAGTTGGTGAACTTTTTGCAGAAAAATATATAAATACTCGACAACAAGTAACATTTCACAGACGGTCTAGCTGACAGTAACAGCGTTTCCATAAACTTGGTTTAGTGACAGACGTTTCTTGTAAAGTTGCCAGGGTAAGTTTGAATTGTTTCTTGACTCATATTTTTGTTGTTTCCAGACTTGAGAACCGCTGTGGTTCAGTGAGTAAGACATTGGCTTGCTAGCTTGGCGGTGCACGACAGACGGTCTTGTATTGGACAACTGTGTACACTTTGGCGTACACGTACAAGATCCCTTGATAGTTTGTATTCGGTAAAAGGGTAGACCGTAGCGGAGCTATCCGGGTAAAATATCCCTCATAGAATGCTCATCGTCATTAGTCTAGTCATAGCAGAACATTAGGACGCTGAAACTCATTTCATTTTATATATCCAGCTTAACAGACCAGAGCCCAACACGACTTGAAAGAGCTATTGGTGCTTTAGGACCTTTTCACCCGTCAGTAGAGAGAGAGAGAAATTGGGTTTAACATCCACTCGACACAAACTAGGTCATTTCGGGACTAACACATGGTTCATTTTTATTTCAATAATTCTCTTGCACGCATTGGTCATTGACAGTGGGAGTAAACCGAAGGGCCTCCAGAATAACGAGCCAACGTTTTAGCCTCCGTGGCTCCAATCCATATGGTACAAAATGTATCACAGGTTGAATTAGAAAACGGTCCTTGATTTAGTTTCAGCGCTATTCGTCAACACAGAAATAAAATCACAAGCCTGGTATTTATTGTTAACTGTTGTATTTTATGGGTCTTTCTTTCTTTTCTCCAATCTAGTAGAATGAATACGTTATTATTCATAATGTTGACTGGTGCGGCAATTATTGCTGGTAAGTAACATGTTGTTGTTCTTCAAATTTATATATTTGTACCAGCATAGCCTTTCATCTTTTTATCGTTTACCGTGCAATTAAGCAGTGCAACTTTACGGTTGTGCTAATACATTTTGATATATATATATATATAATTTAATCATCGAGTGCGAGACGTTAAGTAATATATTGATTTTGAACGAGTGCGATAGGATGAGTTCAATATTTTTATATTACACAATGTCTTGCACCAGACCATTAAACAACTTAAAATACAGACACTATCCAGCACGTGAATTTCTATGAAATACGTCCCGTGAGTCCAATATTGCGACTAGTATAATAATGGTACACCAATATCAGAGGATGACGTCACATCTGTATTTTAAAAAACGATAATGATACTACACATATTATGCGAATTAGTTTAAATTGTGTGGAACACAAAATTGGTTATAAATCAAACTGGATTTATCTTTAGACATAATGCAAGTCGGATTGTCACCCGACATTTTTATTTTGGGTCAAAATTATGGAGGTCCAGCTGTTTTAAATCCTTTAGCTCGGATATTGATGCGATGTGAATTAAGCTTTAATGCAGCCGTTAAGACTACACCATGTGAAAAATTCTCACATTAAAGGGCCAATCCCGATAAGTTTTTGGAGAATAAAACTGCTTAATTTTGTGTTAAAATCCCTTAAAATCCTCTACCTAAGGGCAGCGCAACTAACTCAATATTTGTGGTACGTTTTCAATCAATTTAAAGCCATCAGTCTTCATCTGGAAATGGAGACCAGTGTCCCAAGCTGTATTATGCAGTGTCTTGATAAAACCAGACTTTTTTTATAAAAATAATGTGTAGGTGAAATTTACTTTTCGTTATCAAGTACAGCACATGAGTCATTCACTGTATAGACCTCTCAAGGAACGGGAATCGATTATCAGGTCACCCAACGAAAAACTTGACCCAAAATCTTAAAAGGGTTACATGTCCGGATAAGCAGTTTGGGCATTCATGTCCAAACGACTCAATACTTTGAGCGGGAATTTTGAGACAAGGTAAATACAGCATTCCTCTATATTTTGGCGCTTAAATTTCTTACGTATTCTGACTTTATTTTTGAGACTCTGTTCAAATCGGGATAGTCCCTTTAAGCAGTTCGGTAAGAAATTATTAAAACTAAACTTTAGGCGAATTACTTACTATTGATCTCACATCGCCTTAAAGTAACAGTCCATCCTGTAGAAACTTTGTAAGATATATGAAGGTACTTCCTTCAACTAACAGTACATCACATGATCCAATAGATACCGTGTAAGATATGTGAAGCATATGGCATGTTGTGCATTTAACTACCAGTACATACTGTATATAATGTGTGAAGCATGTAGGAAGGTTTAGGTTTAACCATTTCGGGGTCCCTCAATAAATAGTACATCCTGTAGCCTTGATACTGATCAGTTGACCAGGTACATGCATTATATGGTTTTATCTTTTCCAGTCACTGTACAAGGTCTAGAATTCGATCCTACTCCTGTAGACCCCCCTGTTGCACTCCCTTTTGCCGAGAAGGATCGGGATTCAGAGGATTACCCCATAACTATGGATGAACATGCTAGAGCAGAGAAACGTGATAGATATTATGATAGATATTATGATAGATATTATTCGGGAAACAGAAACTGTGAAGAAACCAAACAAAAATTGAGGTTTCTGGCCTATGATCTAGCTGACTTGTCTGAGGCTATATCTGCTTTAGCTGAAAAAAGGTGAGTTGTCAGTCATTACTTTATCTTTTCACGTGCTAAATCAGAAGACTAATAAGGTAATACTATCAGTATCACAAATCCACAACATAAATCAATAGTTTTGAAATTTGACATGTGAAACTCATAAAACTCACTTAATCCACGCTAAGATATACATCATTGTAGATCAAGAGGCCCATCAAAAAGGCATTTATGAACTAATATCTTGACGAAAAACAAATAATTCCACTTTTCTAATGTCGCTCAAAGATTTCTCTTTTTGTTTTAATTATCTTGCAGAGAAGGCAGACGTTATCCCTTTACTAAGCCTTATTACCATGGTAACACCGAAGAGAGGCCTTATCCCTTTTTATCTCAAAACGAGAGGCCTTATCCCTTTGGATCTCAAAACGAGAGGCCTTATCCCTTTGGATCTCAAAACGAGAGGCCTTATCCCTTTGTATCTCAAAACGAGAGGCCTTATCCCTTTGGATCTCAAAACGAGAGGCCTTATCCCTTTGTATCTCAAAACGAGAGGCCTTATCCCTTTGGATCTCAAAACGAGAGGCCTTATCCCTTTGTATCTCAAAACGAGAGGCCTTATCCCTTTGGATCTCAAAACGAGAGGCCTTATCTCTTTGAAAATCAAAACTCATACCCAAAATGGTGGTAGTTAACTTCTCAACAAAAGACGACATATTTGAAAACATTTCAGAAATACGATAGAAAATTTATATCAAATAAATATAAATAAAGAATCGTGAAATGCATTGACTTATTGTATATTTTGTTTTATGTGCTTCTGTGCTCGGTAGCTAAATCAGCGTGGTTCGCTGGTTGTCGTACACAAGACGGGGTGTGCTTACACAAGCATAATAACATATTATAATAAGCGTCCTAAAGTGCAACATTTTCGGAAGATTGGCACGCGTTGTTTGGTCTAACTATGCAAGTATATTTTTTTATTGCCCCCCCCCCCTCATCAACCCTACCCCACCCACCAACTTGTATCGAGGCTATGTTGCTGGTAAGGTATTACAACAATCAGTAATGAATTGGTGACTAGGGAGCTCGGGGTATGAGAGGTGGGACTCGGTGTGAGGAGGGTGGCTTAGTGGTAGATCCCCCTCTTACAGAACGACCCGATGAATTTATCTATTATATTTATTTTAATTAGGGGGATCACGTGGCTAAGTGGGTAAGACGCTGGCTCGCTAGCCTGGAGGTCGGGTGTTCGGTCCCTGCATTGGCCGCGAAAGTTCATCCAGATTTTCCGGCGTGGTTTCCCCTTGTCAGTGATGCAGGACGGCGGGCCTGTCTAGTCGTTCGAATAGGACGAAAAACCGAGGTCCCGTGTACATATTGGCGTGCACGTAAAAGATCCCTTGGCAGTTGGAATTCGATATAAGAGTAGGCCGTAGTGCCGCTGCACGGGCAAAATTTCCCTCATAGTACAGTGTATGGCATATGCCCGTCTTCATTGGCCCAGTTTAGGAGCAGAACAGTAGGACGTTAAACCCCATTTCATTTCATTTCATTAATATCAATTTACTGTGACGTGGATAAGATCTTGCCACTACAATGATGCGTACATTATTAATTCCTTTTACCCCAGGCAGTATTTTCCGTCTTTTGATATCCACTTTAGAACCACCTTTCTAGCTAGGTATAATTACAGGTGTCATTTTATGCTGGCATGGACATCTGATACCACTTCTTATTTGAAGAGCGTATAGCTAACAAAGTACGGTTGTACTTTTGGGTTCATTTTATAGCTTCCTAAATTCAACACTTTTTTCTTGGGGGGGGGGGGGGGGATACACGTTTGGTGCTAATTTACAAGGGGGTAATTAGCTGATAGTTTATAGCAATTCTGGCTAGCAGGCCTTATATCGGTAACATTTTACAGCAATGGTCGTAAAAGTTGTTTTCGGATTGTGATTAGCGCTAGCCCCGTTTACATCTTATGAAATAGATCTAAAATGAAATGAAATGGGGTTTAACATCCTATTGTTCTGCTCCTAACCTGGGCTAATGAAGACAGGCATACACCATACAGTGTGCTATGAGGGAAATTTTGCCCGGGCAGCGGCACTATCGCCTAATCTTATATCGAATTCCAACTGCCAAGGGATCATTTACGTGCATTCCAATTTATACACGGGACCTCGGTTTTTCGTCTCATCCGAAGGACTAGACAGCTGTCCTTGTCAGGCCCTCCGTCCTGCATCACTGACAAGGGGGAACCACGCCGGAAAATCTGGATGAACTTTCTCGGCCAATGCAGGGATCGAACACCCGACCTCCAGGCTAGTGAGCCAGCGTCTTACCCACTTGGAATTCGATTTAAGAGTAGGCGATAGTGCCGCTGCCCGGGCAAAATTTCCCTCATAGCACCCTGTATGGCGTATGCCCGTCTTCATTAGCCCAGTATAGGAGCAGAACAGTAGGACGTTAAACCCCATTTCATTTCATTTCATTTGTTACATACTATGTAATACAGCTGTGTTGATATCCCAATGTTGAAATTACACACATCAGCTATGTCTGTAATACAGTGGTGTGCAAACTACGCCTGTTGCCCAAATCCGGTCCGCAAAGCCTTGTCATCCGGCCCTCCGGAGCATTTTACTACATTTGAAAATGAATGAGTAATTTTATCTCTAAATGAAATAAAAAATCGAATTTGATTATTGCTGGGCCCAAACTTTACACAGGCGTTGCATAATGTCCACGAAAAAAAATAATCGCCATCCAAAATTATGTCCATCATAAATAACAACAAGATGGCGACCTTTCTTGACTATTTTGAAGTGAAAACATACCTATTTGATGGAGAGAAGAACAGTTTTATTGCTGGACTGGATACATTTGCAATACTAGGCTTTATGATGCAGAAAATAATTTGGTGTTTCAACGTTGTTGTCCAAAAAATTACACCAAATAAAAAGAATTGAGTGGCATAGTTTTTCTCTTATTGTTTAGATTAGAGCAAAAGTAATCTTGGTTGGATTAGGATTAGTAAAATAATATGTACCTGATAAGACGTTATACTTGTGTAGCAATAATATTTTCAGTAAGCTGACAGTGGAAGTGAAAAAAAAAAGGCTATCAGTTAGGAGGTAATTAGTAATTGACTAGCTTACCGAATGTGCCAACTTTGCTTGACACGGCATATACTGGATGTGGGCGTGGCCTGAGCCGCCTTCGGCTCGTCCAATTTCAACATTGGTTCAACTAGGTCTCGACCATGCGCATCGGACCATGAAATAGTTAGATTGAAGTCGCGACCATGGTTAACCCACCTTTCGAGGTCGGTTGAGGCTGGTCAAGTCAGATTAAAATTGGCGGCCCGGGACAAAACATATGATGTGTTGGAATTGTTATTTGAAGATAGAACGTATACCACCAATGTTGCGATGGCCATGTTGGTCTACCAATTGAAAACAAGTATAGCGGTTATTTACGACGTTATTATTTTTTTTTATTTATTCAATTATTTCTGTAATTTTGGAACCGGAGTTGAGCTTTAAATCACGTTACCGACGTTACCTGTTCTTGTACCCAATGTACATTAGGCCCGTCCTATGTTTAACTCGGCCGAGTGGTTTAACGTATACCCGTTCCCGTTCTCTAATTAAGGCCAATGATGCAAGTATGCTGTCGTTATAGGCAATTGCCGATCGCTCCCTTCTCAAAGTTGTGGTTAGCTGAATACATTATTAGACTGTGTCATCGGTATTACTACGCACTGATTGCAGCCATCTAATTTACTACAAACAACTTGGAACAAAGAACAACAAAGGAACCTTAATGATACCGAACAGTAATCACATAAACTAATAAAAAACAAACCTGCAGGGTACTCAATGACGAGATTAATTACAAAATGTGCAGTATGATTCAGAATATAAAACAATGAAAAGATTAACGACAAAGATTGCAGCATGAATTAAATATATAAAAAAGTTTACTAAATTATATACAATAATTTATTACTAACGGCGGTCTTAATATCAACTAAGTTATGGATGTCGTGGCAGTTTTGCTTATCCTCAAGGGATTGAACTCGTTATAAAAATGTTTTTTATCTAAATACGTGGCAATTCAACAGAAGTAGAATCTTCAAAAACTATCAATACCCAGGTTTTGTGAGGATTTATTTGACGATAAATTGCACCCCATGTTCGATTTGCTCTTGAAATGTGTATACAAGTTGTTATATAATGAAAATTAGACAACAATTGTATTTATGTGGTTTTGTACTGCATTGTAATTTTAACTATGTTCGGCTAGAAATAATCTTGGTTTCGCGAGTATAAATTTCATTGCATATTATTACCAGAATTACAGAATGTACTTGTTCAATTATCTCCAGTACTATTGAAATATGTTCCAATGCCTTTGTTGCACTTTTTAAAAAACAATATTCGTTATATTTAGCACTACATACAATCTGATTAAAACACAAATCCTATTTGATTTCGTTTTTCATAGTTCAAATTTCGTTTTACTAAATAATAATATATTATATTAACGTGTCACCATTTTACTTGCCTGCACTACACTAGGATCTGGAAGAATTGTTACATAACGGAACTGTGTTTTTGCCACAACTTTATTATTTGTATATGTGTATTGGCCTAGTCAACCGATGCAGTGCAGGATATTTCAATTGTCATAGTTTATGGGGGTTTTTTTATATAGAAATGGACATATTGATACCACGCCGATTCTGAAATTGCATTGGAGTTAAACTATTATGGCTAACTCGGAATCTGAACTTTCGCCAAAAAATAGGCCTACATTTCGTTATTAGCGTGGATTTAAATTCATTTTAAGTAACATATTTAAAGATTTTGCTCAGATATCGACTTTAGATACTTCAATAACAGCCAGAGGTCCTAAATGAATTGATGACAAACAGTTTTCTTAAAGTGCACATAAGATGGTCCCGGAAACTTCGAGATACGTGTAGCCAATGGTTACTATATCCACTTTACGGCAAGTTCACGCCAATCTGGTTGAAATTAATTCAGTTATCTTCACTCAAAGTCGTAAAAATAGACCTTCCGTAAAAACGGCTTTGCCAATTATCGAAAACACTCTTAATCCCCTCAGACGCCAGTGACGTCACAGTGACCGAATGCATATTCGGAATGTTTATTCCTTAATTACCTATATACAGCCGGCGTGTGTATTCTTTAACGCCTGAAGGATTCCTTAATCCCCCTAATTTAATAAAACAATTGACTACGGAATAATTTGTTTTGTAATTCATTTTAATTTAAGATCCAATTTAGAGTGCCTACAACTTTTAAACTTTGAAGTCCTGAACTCTTAATTAATTTTTTACAATATGGAACTTATTGGACGAACACTTTTAATATGTAAGTAATATACGGGTCCAGCGATGTGGTTTTTACTGCGAGCACTTCGCTTTTCCACATAAAGTGTAGTGTCGTTAATATCTGTCATTAATTAATCAATCCGACTATAAAAGTTATACAGGCATGGGCCATAAATTAATTTCAAGTTGGTGTTAACAGTGAGTGTTAGTGGGATTAAATGGCCGCCAGTACCAGCCAGGAATAAAATAGCTCTGGAGAAATTGTGCTGTACTTCAAAAATACTAACGAACAAAGTGCCATTCCTTCTTGTAATGTTAAGATAAGATTATTATACATGTTTATTTGGATTTTCGTGAAATTCTGT